GGCCACAACTCAGGACCAGTTCTTATTCAAGATGGCGACCCCCGCATAACTCCTCCCTTTAGACATATTGTGCGGCAAAAGAGACCACGAATTCACTTTAGGGTTATACACCTCAACGGACGCCAAATTGCTCTGTCCGTCATCGCCGCCAATCACATACAGGAGCCCATCCTTGGCCACTACACCCGCGTTACGGCGCGCTATAATCATATCTGAGCACTGGAACCAAGAGTTCACTTTCGGGTCATAACACTCCACACTCTTCCGTACTGCCGGCCCGTCGTGACCGCCAATCGCGTACAGCCGGCCCTCCAGTACCCCAACCCCGGCGCCCGACCGCCTCTGAGACATATCGCATATCAATGTCCACGTGTTGTTCACCGGATTGTAGAACTCGACAGACGACAGGCATTGCCTACTGGCGCCGTCATAGCCGCCCACAGCGTACAGACCGTCGTTGAGTGTGGCCACACCTACAGAGGAGCGTCGGGTGGACATGGGAGCGATGAATTGCCAGGTCTTCATGACGGGATTGAACACCTCAGCCGACTGGAGACCAATGGAGCCGTCAAAGCCTCCCACAGCGTATACCATATCGTGCAAAACGCCCACACCCAGGGTGCTTCTGCGGGCTTCCATTGGCGTGCAGGCATTCCACATGTTGGACTTGGGGTCGAAGTAGTCGACAGTTCCCACCCGTAACGAGCCGTTAAAACCGCCGATGGCGTAGACAATGCCGTTAAGGACGGCCAGACCGGCCCGACACCTATTGCTCGGCAAATTGCATCCCAGGTCTGCCCACTGGTCGGACTCGAAGTTATAGTACTCGCAACTGTTGATAGCTTTGGGCGCCTGACCGCCGACCACCACCAGACACTTGGGTCGGCCTAAGGGTGTCCTGACTCGGAAGCGGGCGTTGTTGGCGATAGTGAGCCGACCCTTACAGAGATGGTATTTCATGGCTTCGATGAGCAGGTCTTTGCAGTTGGGGTCAGACTTGATGAGAGGGTACTCGTCCTCAATGCGCACCAGACTCTCCTGAGTGAACCGCGGGAACCGTATGTGTTGTATGAGTGACGACAAGTACTTCATCCGATCGCACCGGTCGTACATTATCCACGCCATGAGCGCCGACAGCACCACCGACTCGCCCGCATCGCCGGTGTCCACCAAATCAGATGATATGATTTGCGCCACTCTTTCGGCCGTCAATTGCATAAACTCTTCGGATTGGGTGGCAATGAGTCGGAAGTTATTGTAGATGTAATTCAGTGCAAACTCTTGGAGGTCTCGACAGTCCAAGAGTTCCGCGAAGCCATAGACACCCAAAGCGTTCTCGGGATGTAATTGGGATTCAATGAATTGGCTGCAAATGGCGACCACATGTCCGCAGTCCAACATCTTGGCCGCACTCATCAGCTGCTGGACATTGTCTGCACTCGTGTCCACACATCCCGTGTAACACCATTTGATGATCTCGTTGAGCGCCGGGCCGTCGATGTTCTTGATGTGGATCTCGTAGAGTCCGGACTCCACGTACTGACCACCGACTGTGGATCCGATGAACATGGCGTTGAAGTACTGCAGAGTCGACGCCAACACCACTCTATGGGCGCT